TTCACTGATAATTCAGATAAAAATTACGGAACACCGCGGAAAAATTCCGTGACTTTAGATAAAAATTACGTGACAGATCCGTAAAATTTCCGACAACCACATTTCGCTCCAGAATTACGGAAAATACACGTAATTTTTATTGAATATTTCTCTCAGTGTGATAATGTGGGTCAAATAAGGATCTCAACCCACCATTGCGTTTCAGCCCTGATCTGGCCCTCACCAGATACCCTATGAGGGCCTTACATTCCAATCTAGCAGCCTTAGAAAATTTCTGCCCAGGATAACACCAATATTTGCTTCCTAGTGTCTGAAAACGTAAAGCAAGTGCCAATTTTACTCATAAAAACGACAAAAAATCCTTGCAGAAAATAATTATCATCTTCTCAATGAAAAAAAAAATTTGGCAATGACTTCCGCTCAATGACTTCCGCCCAGTATTCCTCCCTTTTCTCCACTGCTTCATTGTTAGATTTTATCTTCTTTATTTAATCAGAAGGATCTCCATGGAGTTGGAATTTTAATTTTGTCATCGTGGAGCTGTGAATTGAGGGTCATAAATAAATAATGGAAAATCCTCGAATGGCAATAAATGATGCAAAGGAATTTAAAGACGGCGTACAATTACGCACGTAAAATGGCATCATTCCTCAAGCCCCAAGGAAAAAGAAGAAATGAAAAGAAGGGAGAGAGTACTGGCGCAGTCGTAATGGAAAGCAGTGAGATTTAACAATGTTACAATGAATGTACCCACCCTACTGCACCCTCGCTTCCATTATTTCTTCTGTATTTCTCGTTTTCTCTCTAATACCTATACACATCTGTTTCTCGGTGCTTTGTTCCCTCCACTTGGTTCAAAAGTCACTCCCGAGACAAGATTGAATCATAAAATAAATCTCAGATGAAAGCTCACTTTGTATTTGCATTTCAATAATCTGCACTCAAACTGCACGTCTTCTGAAAAAAAAAAATCTGGCGAATTAATTTACTCCTGTAACGTAAATTTACTTGTTACAAATAAATATATCTGAATTTTCATTTTCATTGGCTCTGGGTATTTTTTATGGGTAGTGAATTTAATTGAAAAATGCAATCATTTTGCTCGCGGTATCCGCAGCCTTTCAAAGTAATTGAAACAATTTTTATCATTCAGTAAGTGATAAAATTACGATGTACTTTTTTGACTCATCGAAAATTCAAGGCCCACGGGATAGATGCAAGGCCCACATGCTCTAATCACAAATACTTGCGATAATACTTGCGAGCTACTGTCAAAGTACATTGAAAATTTTCGCCTATTGAATGAGTGTATTTCACAAGAAACAAAAATTTATTTATCTAAATTTATACCAAATCAAAAGAAAACAATCAAACCTCCCGTCCAAACCCTCCCCTCAATACCATTACAACAATTATTCAGTTTTCCATTTCCCATTGTTAAGTACGTCCTGAAAATTCGCGAGACGTTTCCCGTCCAGACATCCCTAATTAAGAACAATTAATTAATTCAAGGATTGAGCTGAAATGCCCGAGAGTCTCTCATCTCGACAAACCAAGTAACAAATTTATGTGTAGACAGGCTGAAAGTTGAGTCCACCGTAGCCTTCAATTTGGTCTCTCTCTGGTGGTGCGGCATTGTTTCACGGTGGATGAGAATTTAATTTGTACATTGAGGCAACGTAGAGGAAACCGGGTGCAAGGGAGACAGAGAATAATTGTACACATAGAGAGAAATAGGGTGGCTTGTTTAAGGGATGGGTGGGAGTGTCAAATTGAATTACCCTCCTGTTCCCTGTTGAACCGGCCTCCCGGGACACTTTTGCCATGTTGTGCGCGTGCTCACACTCACATTTGCACATTTACCGGAGGTACGCAGAGGATGGAAAATGTTTCCCGGGTTTAAGGCAAATGAGGGAACAGAGGGAACCAATGGTATGGGGAAGTGAGGCGCCATCTAGAGCGCACGGTAACCCAAACTGTCTGCCCTCATCAAGGCGTTTTCAATTAAAATCAACACCAAGGCTATTCTCCTTTCCTCCTCCACCTGTCCTTCCTGAAATTTCACTATCTCAATGGACGCCTTCACTGGGCGTTAAATTAATCGGAGTTCCCCAGCGTTTATGTCTTGGGGCGTATTATTCTTTTAACAGTCACAGACATTCAATTCCTTCCCAAAATTCCTTCACAAAAAATGGAAGATTCTATGTACGTTGGGACAAATTAATAATATTTATTCTTTATTTAACATCGAGAGTTGAATGGATTTTTCAACACACCTGCAGGGAAAGTTTCCACTTTGCTCCCTGATAAGCGTGCGCAAAGTTAGTACTTTCCGCTCTTGGGTAGAAAGTCAAGACTTTCCCCTTGGGTGCGACTTTCCACACTTGGGCAGAAAGTATATCACTTTCCTTCCGCTCTTCAAACAGCAAAACGGGAAGTTCCCTTTGAGAGATAGATGTTGAGAAATAGCACATGGCACCTCGGCTAGGAAAATAATTACTTTTCGCCCTTCATCCACAAAATACTATATTCACAGCGGATTAGGATCTCCCGCGACAACAGTAAGAATATTCGTTAGATCAGAGGTGTCCGAATTATTGTGAACTAGCGCTGCCCCAGCCGCTGAAGCGACTGGGATGTTGATAAAATTTCCATTTTTAAATGCATTTGCGAATCTTTTATGAGAATGATAATTGATGTTTCGATAGTTACTGATTAATCACCCCCTCATATAAGTCCTCTGCGATATCTCCATCTGGAGATGCTGTACACTCATCTGCTAGATATATCTTGCATTTGTTGCTATTCGATGTTGATCCCCAACAGATAGGGTAGATAGTAGAAATCGATAGATAATAGAAATCGGGCAAATTCAGTTTCTTCTCGTCAGGCATGCATATTCTCCGGCAGAGTGAAGTTGGAAGAGATGGCTTTCACTAATTCGTTACTATAACGAAGGGGAAATATTTGTTCGACGTTTTGGGGATGTTTATTTGAAGTAATGGCGATATTTTGGGGATGCTTTCACCAAGAGGAGATTAATGGGAATTTTAGTCGATGTGGTCTACTCTACTAACTACTCATATTTTGATCATTAGTCGAAGAACTAAATTTTATAAAATAAAATATTAAGGATAAAGCATTCTAATAAATTAAAACCACTGACTTCGAAATACTAAAACGCTCTCTCCGATTGAACCACCAAGTCCTTTTCAGTTTTTTTCGTCGTGCTTACAGCTCAAAGTCCAAAGGTGCGTTGACCAGATAAATGAAAGTTATCTATACTCCACCGAAAAGATCTAAATAAAAATAACCAGAGTAAAAATCCCCATGGCGATGATTGAAACCGACAAGCAATACACCCCTCAAATCCCCATCCAGAACCTTTCATTTAAACAAAAGAACTTCATCAAAAACCAACCGTTTGGTCTTTCAACCGCAAAAAATATCGGAATCCAAAAAAAGGACTGAAAAAAGTAGCTATTGATGAACAGACGAGACGAAAAAGCAAATCCGAAACTCTGAAATAAATTAATCGACTGTATGTACACAAAACTGAAAATAAACCCATGTTTTTAATGTTTTTTTTGTCATCACAGGATGGACGGGGCTGCAATATTGTCGCTGCCACCCCTTGGTACCCAGAAATCCGCGCAATCCAGCCCCCAGCCACAACAGCACGCTAAACCGAATCAGGTAATCTGCCTCGCCAGGTTTTTTTTTCCAGCTTTTATTATCCCTCCCTTTTTTCAATTCCTCTTTCACTCTTTCACTTGATTGTACAGTCGTGGATATAACGACTGTAAAAAAAACCAGAAAAAGAGAGAAGGGAACACACGCATTGAACATTTCCACAGCGACCGGCTCCATTGTGGAAAATCTATCGTGTTAATGGAAATTGGTGGTTGAAAAATTGAGTTCTTCATTTTTGAAATAAAGGGTGGGAGGTTCCGTTGAATTTACTTCCGAATTGTCCTCTTAATACAAATTTACGTTTTTTCATTTTTTTGGCAAACGTACTGTGGGATTACGTGAAATAATATAACGTTTTTGCGTTTAGTCATTATGTAATGACCCGAGAAATCAATGTTTTCAGGGAATTACGTTGATTAAATCAGTCCTCTAAAATAAATCACTTAACTCATTCTGTATTTCCATAAAATTCTTGGATATCCAGAATAATTCTGAAAATGTAAACAGACATGGTGCGACTATAGCCTTCAGGAGTTACAGGTTGGTTCAGTGGCTCTGTACGGTATCCACATAGTCTCCTTGGTGATCGAAGGCCAAGAGCGCCTCTGTCTGGCCCAAATCAGCAACACCCTCTTGAAGCAGTTCAGTTACAACGAGATCCACAATCGGCGAGTAGCTTTGGGCATAACTTGTGTCCAGTGTACCCCAGTGCAACTAGAAATCCTGAGAAGAGCTGGTGCAATGCCTCCGTCCTCCCGCAGATGTGGAATGATAACGAGAAGAGAAGCCGAGCGACTCTGCAAGTCCTTTCTCAGCGACAATGCACCTCCAAGACTTCCAGAAGACTTTGCCTTCTCAGTGCACCACGAGTGCGGTTGGGGGAATCGAGGTGCCTTCCTTCCCTCGAGATACAACAGCTCCAGAGCCAAATGCATTAAGTGCGCGTACTGCGGGCTCTTCTTTTCGCCGAATAAATTTATTTTCCATTCCCATCGAACCGGACCAGGAGACAAGTACGTCGAGCCTGATGCTGCCAACTTCAACTCCTGGAGACGACACATGAAGCTGTCCGGGACACCTCCGGACGAAGTGGTTCATGCTTGGGAGGATGTCAAGGCAATGTTCAATGGGGGGACGAGAAAACGTCTGCTGTCGAATCATGAATCGAGGGATTCACCAAATGTTAAGAGAGCAAGACTATCTCCAAGCACGCCAGTCCCTCCAGCTATCACCAGTTCTATACCTCCAGCACCTGCTCATCCAGTGCATCCTAGAGTTCCACCGTTTCCGGAGCTACCGTTTCCACTATCGAGGAGCTTGGTAATGGATTATGTTTGGCATCAGCAAGCTGCTGCTGCTGCCGCTGCTGTCAAGAGTCCTGGCTTTGCATTTCCTTCATACGCCTTGCCGTGGCTCAAGAGGCCTGTCCTTTTTCCAGGTGAGGCTAAACGTGGATTTCAAGTGATTCTTTTAAATAAACAAACAAATTGTTAGTTAAAAACACCAGCTTGCAACTTTTTCGTGCACTGGTTGAGGAAAAAGTTTTGATCTTTGATTAGCAATAGAAGCTTGTTTGACTGCGATATAGCCGTAGGGCAGATGAACCCCTTAGGCTTTCATGATACCGAAACAATCGATTTTGTAGATTTAAACTGAACGATTGTTGAGTGTGTTGTTATTTTCTGATTAACTAGGCCCTTTACCTTCACCCCTAAATGGAACCGGTGCCACTGAGCCGCTGTTGCCACCAGTAACCCCAGCTCCCCTTCATCAATCAGCTTTTCGTCCAGTCATTCGACCGTCGCCCAATGTCGAACCAATGGATCAGTCTGAAGTTAGTGTCGATAAAGACGAGGATTCGGACGATGAAGTGGACATTGAGACGACCGAAGACGATGATCCATCCATTCGGAATCATGTGACTAATCCCATTAGTGTTAATCAAAGTGCTAGGGACAGCTCGCCGCAGTGCTGGAGTCCAGCGCGTGAATCTGTGAGTAATTGTGAATTTATTTTAAAACCTAGTTTGTAAAAGACTATTATATATTCTCATTCATAAGTAAATGATCCGTGTCTGTCACGCGCCCTTCTCCTTTTTTTATTGGAGATAGTTCCAGTGTTTCATTCGCATTGAATTTTGATAGCTCATTAAATGAGATTTAAAAAAATATGATGATTATGTAAACATGTCATTTTCGTGTTTCATATGATTTTCCATTTTCTCTTTTGAAAAAATCCAGGTGAAACGAAAAGTGTCACGTTTGCCGCTGCATAGTTTAGCCTATGAAAATTTTCTATTTCCTTATATTATTTATTTCTATTTTCAATAACTGAAATTTTTAATAAAAAAAAATTATTGAATCAGTTATTAACTGAGAATAATCATGTTACTCGTTTTCTGAAAATTTGTTCCAACGTTGATGTTGGCTCAATGTTGATACAATGTTGCCTTAATGTTGGCCCAACGTTGGTGCAATGTTGGCACAAGGTTGGCAAGAATAAAGTTAATTCACAAATTAATGTGAATATCTAAAACAATATTGATTTCAATATTCAAAAAAAAACCGGATTGAACTAAAAAAAGTGTTTTTTCTTGGAATCCGAAAAATGTGGGATTGACATAATTCTTAATAAGAAAAATTGCGTCGTTTTTTTTACTTTTAGGATTACTTTCCCAATATGATATGAAAATTTCTTATATGTTTATCAGAAAAACGATCGTATCATAAAATCCAATTATATCCTACTCGTGTTATAAAAATATTTCTCCTCTGTAAAATAGTGAGAAAAAATAAGTATGGCAACATCTGGAAGATACTAGTAATTCTGAAAACCTTAACACTTGCCCCTTGTTCACAAGTACACAATTGTCCCTCGCCGTGTGACCCACCATACACTTCACATGAACAATCACACCAGTCTGACGGTTGATACCGACACGCGACCCATCGGCACGCGACCCCATCGTTTTTGTCACTGCAAAAACTCGAGTACAGAAAATATTTGCCCACTCATTTAGATAGATTTTATGCTCCCATTTCATGAACCCAGTCCTCCAACTCTATTACTTAGAACGTAGAAAGGGACGGCATCAATGATGGAGTGAGCAGTGACGTGTAACTGGAGAATCACCCACTCCCCGTATTGAATTTCCCCTAAGGACAATTGCAAACAAGTCTTATTTTAATCGAATCATGTTCATACACATTTTATCACCAATGAAATACCCAAACCGATGATAAAAAATGATAAATTGCCGTTTAATCCCGATAAGTATTGAATAAATACCACCAATGATAATCAAATTGGATAGTTTGGAATGTTGAACTTGCGGCAATTGAAATTATTACCAGAAAAGTCTGAGTTAATTGCAATAATTCCTTCGTAAAGACAAGATCTCTTCGATTCACTGATATGTTTTTATGAGATCCACATGGAGTCCACCTAGGTGAGAGGATAATCCCCAGTACCAGGGGATTGCCAGACGGCTTTTCAATTCCCCTCGTCGGTGAACGTGTCGAGTGTGAGGGGAGTGAAGTACCCTGTATATATTTCACCCCTCTCAAAATCCTTCATGTGCTTGTTGGTTGTAGTACTTCTCGAGCAATCTGTCTCACTCGAGCTGAAGAAGAACTCCCTCCAACCTAGTTACTTCCCTTGCCAATGGGACAACTCTATTGCGGTAACTAAGTAATCCTCCAACGTTATTTGGAGTTATTTGTCGCTCCAGTGGATGCACATTCGTTCATCTGTTGTCCTTTGATGAACCCAAGCTCGAGGCCTTTTTTACCTCATCTAGGCTTGGTGATGACCAAAGAGTGAAGGATTCGGTTGATTTACGAACAAGTGAGAATGCTTTTGGAGGAATCAGGAGGAATGAGGAGGAATGAAGGTGCACTGGAGATGGAGATGGATTTAGTCGATCAAATGCAATTAAATGGTGTCACGTACTTCCAAGTTGCTCTCTTCTGGA